ACCTTTATAGATTCAATAAATGAAAAATGTAAAATGATAATTGAAAAGAAAGGTGAAAGAATTAATTATTAATTATATATTAATAAAATCTTTAGATTTTCAATTTTATTTTAATATATTTTTTATTAATTTCTATGCAATAGTTTTTGAGTAATGAATAAATAAAAAATTTCAAAAAGTTTTGTTACACACTGTATATAGTTTTGTAAAAAAAAAAAAAATGTAAAATATCAATATAGTCTTTGTTTAGTTTTTTGTAGATAAGTACTTTATATTTTAATTCAAATTTTTGATTTCTATTAATTAAATTAGATATAAAATTAAAGTTATATATAATAATGTATGAGATGTTTTTGAAAAAGTTGTTATTGATAAGTTTTGGATATATAAGATAGTTTTTTTCCTTATATTTATATCATATGATAAATAGACTTGTGTGATGCATATTTTTATTTTGGATTTGAATAAAAAAAATATTGAGATAATATAGTCTTGATATTCAAAGGTTTTATAAAAATAGTTTGAAAAATTTTTGTTAAGTATTATTAGGACATTTGCTTGATTTTAATCAAAATTATTTAAGTGTATAATAAAGTTTTTAATGATATACGAGATTTTTTTGATGGCTTGAAGTTTTGTTTCTAAAATACCAAAAATGTTATAATTATTGTTTTAATATATTGAAATAAGCAATTGAGTTTTATATAATTATTAAATTCTTCCATATTAAGGAAACTAATTTTATTAATTATTATTTTGTGTTAATTATACATGTTGCTGAAATTTGTAAATCCTTGATACAATTAATTGAATCATTATTAAAACATATAAATAATTAAGTTATGATACAATTATTTTTAAGGATTTTGGAAACTGAGTCAACAGCAAATAATTTATATCACATATATAATGTTGATAATATATTTGTTATATGTAATTTTTGTAAAAAATTTTTTAATTGACAAGTTTTTAAGAAGATTAGTTGTATTAGTTATTGTTTGAAAAAGTTAAAAAATTTTGTTAATAATTTAAAAAGTTTAATTTGAATAATATATTTATTAGAGAATTTTTAAAATATAAAGTCTTTTTTAAGTTTATAAATTTTTGAAATAAAGTTAACATTATTGATTATAGGAATATCTATTTCAATTTTGTTTTGAATTAAATATTTTTTTAAGTCAGATGAACTTGGAATAGGAGGTTTTTATTGGATTTGAATCTAGGTATCTGAAATTTTAAAAAATTGAAAATAATAATATGTTTTGTTTATATTTTTTTTAAAAAGTTTTCTATTTGTTATTGGAAAATTGATATTGATTTTTTATTTATAATATTATAATTATCTAATAATAGTAGTTTAATTAATATTGTTTGAAAATTTATATTTGTATTTTGATTTAAGATATTGATTTATTCCTTTGATAAAGGTATTTGAAAGATATATTTTTTTAAAAAATTATTAAAAAGATATGGAATATTAGTAGAGTTTGCTATTGGAAGAGAAATATTTATTTCCAGATCAAGGATTTTGTTAGGTGATGTAGGAAATATTTTCCTAATAAAAGAAAAAATTATTTGATAATAGTTTGAAAAAGTAGATTTTATAAAGCAAAGTAGTTAATTTTTGTATAGTTATTATATTATCTCTAAAGTTAAAAGGAAAAAGCTTTAATACTTAGATTCTAATAAGTGGTAGATTGTTGGTAATAGTTTTTTTAAAGATAGAAGTTTGAAATAAAAGCTGAAAAAATTGGAAAAAACTTGATAGTTTTTACAAAGATAGTTTTTAAGTTTAGAGAGCCTAGTTAGTTTATTATATTTTTTGATTGAAAAAATTTTATTGTATTTTGATAGAAGATTGTAAGAATTTTTAGATAATAAAAAATTAATTTTGAAATAATTATCTAACAGTTTTTAAAATTTATAATAAAACCTAAATATATATAGAGTTTAAATAAATTGTGATTGGTTTTGCATTAGTAAATTGCATATGATTTTGATTTTAATATTGAAGAAGATTTTATTCGAGAAGAATAAGAGTTTTAAAAGTAGTTTATTTATAAATTCCTTGAGTTTTTTTTTAAGAATAATATAGTCAATAAGAAATTGTAACTTTCTAATAAAGTAGTTTATGAGATAAGTAAAGAGATTGGCTAGTTTATAAAATAAAATATTGTTAATATTGGTTGTTCTAAAATAAATAATTAATAGGATATTGCAAATAATTATTCATTTTTTTTTTTGTTTTCAGGTTAATAAAATTGAGATTGCATTTTTTTTTATATTTTTCTTGAAAATCTTTTTTAATTTCATTAAATTTTTTTTGATAAACTGATTTAATATATATTTTGGAAATAAAGGAGTTGAAAAAAGTATAGTTCTTAAAGTTGAGTTTATTAAATATTGATTAAAAAAGATATGATAGATATTTGGTTAGTTTTTATTGTTATAATAATTTGAATAACTGTGATTATATCAATAGATACTAAAGTTAGTTAATTAGTCAAGAATTTTGTTTTTTATAGTGAGTGTTATTTTGTTTATTATAAATTTATTGCAATTCTTTTTGAATTTGATAATCAAAAGAGAATAATTATGTATATAATTAAAATAATTGATTAAATAATTGATAGATTTAGAGAGTTGATCTAAATCAATATATTTTTAAAGTTAATAAATTATAATTGATTTATTGATTTAATTTTGTTAATATTAATAATATTAAAAATAATAATAAAATTGTAATTAATAATTAATATTTAGAGATATTTGACTATAAAGAATTTGTTAAAATAGAATTCAGATTGGAGAGTTTTATTGATTTATTCTATATTTTATTGATTTCAATAATATTAACAAATTGGAAAAGAGTTGAAATAATAGTTGAGGTACTTGTATATGTTTGCATTGTAATTAATTGATTATTATTTCTTTTTTGAAAAACAAGAAAATTGATAAATAATAGATTATTTTCAGAAGGAAACTATAAAATATTTATGAAAGTATTGGTTAAATTAAACTTTTTTTCTTTTATTAGTAATATTTCTAATATAATTAAAGTCAAAGTTTTTTGTTTTAAAATTTTAAACTGTTGTTCTAATTATAGGAATTATATTTTTTTTGATAGTAGATTCTTTAAAAATAATGATTTTAGTATGGTTAATAATATTAATATTGAAAATTTCTTGTATATATATATTTTTTAATAATAAGGAATTGTTTAGAATAGTTAATAAGATTAGGAATAGTAATAATTTTGATATAATCAGTTTTATGAATTATATTTATTTTTAAGTCAAAATAATAAATTTGAAGTTTTCAATTTTAGTTATTATAAATAGTTGTATAAAGAAATTGTTTTAGATTTGTTAAAAAGGTTACAAGTTTCATGATAAGAGTATTTAACTTATAAAGTATATTTGGAGATACTTGAAAATAAACAAAGGAGTTTGTTTAAAGATTATTACTATAAAAAATTTTTTTTGTTAAAAAATTGATTTATAAAAAAGAGTTTTTTTATTTATTTGTTTATTGAATTAACAAAAAAAATTATTATTACTTTGATATATTTCATATTATAAAAGAATTTTTTTACTTTAATTAAATTATAAAATCAAAATTAATTAATTTTTTTTTTAAATTAATTTATTAATAGTTAATATTTTATTATAACAAAATTAACTTAAAATAATAATAATAATAAATATAATATAATATATTCTATTTAATTATTATTTATATAAATCATATTTTAAATATTTTTTATTAATAAAAAATTTATTAACAAGTAATAAAAATTTTTTTTTAAAAAAAAACAATAAAAAATTTTCTTATAAATATTATTATTTTTATAAGATTTCTGATATAAATAATATAATAATGATAATTATAATTATTAATTTATTACAAAATTTTTTGAATAGATAATAAAACTACTTAATAATATTTATTATAATTTATTATATTTTAAAAATTTTTTTAATATATTATTAAAATTATTAATTATAAACAAAATAATATTTAATTTGTGCTTGAAAAATATTTACTGTTTATATTTAAACAATTAAAGAGAAAATACTTTTTTGCTCAAATAAATAAATAAATAAATAAGATTTAAAAATCAATAGTTAAAAGAAAATTTAATCTGTAGGTCAATAGTTGGCAAATATAAAATTGTAGGCAAATTTGTCGACAATACAGTTTAAGAGATAAGAATTGAAATTTTCTTAATTTTTAATTTGTGTTTTAGGCAAGTTCATTTAAAATGTAGATTAAACAGATAACTTTTATTAAAATTTTATTAAAATCAATAAAGGTGTGATAACCGTCTTATCTTCTTAAAAAAATAAAATAAAATTATTTATTACAAAAAAAGAAATGTTTTTTTTATTATGAAAACCTTAAAAAATATATAATTTGTCGGTTTGGGTGGCGACCATGCACATGACCCATATTTTTAAAAAAAGGGTTGTACAGAACTGACAGAATCGTACGGAACATGTGAAAACATTCAAACTTGTATAATTATTATAATTATCTTTGCATAAACAAATACCATATTAGATCGGGCAGAACAATTAATCGAGGTTTGGTTCAAATGGTTCGATTTTCTTAAAACCGTGATTATCATCATCATGGTAAGCTCGTGGCACGTAACACATGTTGTTTAATAAATGCCTAAGGGTCGGGAATCCTAAAAAATGTGGGTACGTCGCCGCATTTCTTTTTTAGATCAATCTTTTTTTCATGGTGCGTCACTTACTGTCATTGCGCGATGCACGCACGTAAAATGTGCGTCACTCTACTTTCGGAAAATTAATTTAGTGATTACATATAAGAATCGAATATATCATCGAAATTAAATATTCGAAAAGAACCTGTTCCAATCTTTAATTGGAACTAGATCATTACGTAATACAGATATTTAAGGAGATCATTGTCCTTTTTGATAAATTAAAGCGATTCATCTAAGCGATTTACATTCGAAGCTATTTTACACGATGTCAAAACAGGAGAAGGGAATCTCAACTATTGAAGGTTATGTTGATGAACAAGTGAAAAGGCTGTTGGTGGTTTCAAATCGTTTGCCAGTCACGGTCTCAAAGGATGAAAGCGGATATACCTTTAAAATGTCTTCTGGTGGTCTGGTGAGTGCACTTAGCGGTTTGAAAAAAACGACACCCTTTACTTGGATTGGCTGGACTGGTCAGTTTAACTTTTCATTTCATGCTTCAAAGGGTTAAAAAAGGGTGGACACGATCAAAACATTATTTAAGTAAATCACTTATTACAGGACTCCATATACCTGAAGAGGAGAGACAAGACGTCACCAAAAAACTGGGAGAACATTCTTGTCTTCCTGTTTTTGTTGATGAGGATTTAGCAGATCGTCATTATAATGGATTTTCTAATTCAATACTATGGCCGCTGTTTCATTATCATCCTGGTGAAATCACGTTTAATGAAGAGGATTGGAATGCCTATGAAATAGTCAATGGTCTTTTTGCCGATGCCATTAATAATATCGTCCAAGATGGCGATTTGGTCTGGGTTCAAGATTACCATTTAATGTTGTTACCAAGTATGCTAAGAGAAAGAATAGGAGATAGTCGGCAAAATGTTAAAATTGGATTCTTTTTACACACTCCGTTTCCTAGTAGCGAGATTTATCGGTAAGTTATCGAAGAGATGAATGTCTGTGTCGACATGTGAAAAGTTTAACATGCATGTCTGACTAAACCCGTGTTTGTAAACAGAATTCTGCCTGCCCGTAAGGAAGTCCTTAACGGGGTCTTGAATTCAGATCTTATCGGATTTCACACGTACGATTACGCTCGTCACTTTCTATCGTCTTGCACCCGCATTCTGGGTTTATCGACTATGCCCAATAGCATTGAATATGAAGGCAGACATGTACACGTTGGGACATTTCCTGTTGGCATTGACCCAGAAAAGTTTACCGAAGTATAAATAAATAATTGTTGTTATGCTAAAGGATATTTGTTCTTGATTTTTAGAAATGTCATCACAAATTAAGTCGTATTTTGATTGATTTCTTAATTATTCTCAGGGCCTAAATCAACCGAATATCAAGGAGCGAATCAAAGGGCTAGAAGAAAAATTCAAGGGCATGAAACTCATCGTCGGTGTAGACCGTTTAGATTATATCAAAGGTGTTCCTCATAAGATCAATGCCTTCGAAGTCTTCCTCAGTGAACACCCGGAGTGGGTCGGCAAAGTCGTTCTTGTTCAAGTGGCCGTACCCTCTCGACAAGATGTTGAAGAATATCAGAATGTACGCACTAATGTCAACGAATTGGTCGGAAGAACGAATGGCAAATTCGGAACGGTAGAATTTACGCCAATTCACTTTATGCACAAGTCGGTTTCTTTCGATGAACTGGTCGCGCTGTACGCAGTTTCGGATGTTTGTTTGGTGTCCTCCACTCGAGATGGAATGAATCTCGTTTCTTACGAATATGTCTGTTGTCAGAAAGAGAAAAACGGAGTGTTGATACTCAGTGAATTTGCGGGCGCCGCCCAATCCCTAAATGGTAGGATAGTCTATTTGTGTTTGGAAACGATGCACATGTAACCGATATTCTTAATCCACGTGTTATCAATTTTGCACGAACGTTTGGAAGGCTCTATCATTGTAAATCCTTGGAGTACCGAAGAACTTTCCAATGCTATTCATGAAGCGGTCACCATGCCAGAATCTTTGCGTAAATCGAATCATCAAAAATTATATCGATATATTAATAAGTATACCGCAGAAAATTGGGGGACTAGTTTCGTCAACGAACTAAAGGTACTCGATTGTTTATTAGTTTGAATGTCAGGGTGACAGTGTGAATTGATCCGTGTAATTATTTTCAGCGCGTCTCCAAGGAATATGGTATCACCCACAAGAAGATTCTACGTTTTGACTTTAGAAAGATAGCCGAAGCGGCAAAAAACGCCAAAAGACGAGTTATCTTGCTGGATTATGACGGTACTCTGACTTCCAAGCGCAGATTACCGGAATTTGCTAATCCATCCAGTAGTGTCCTCAAAATCCTCAGAGAACTTCAAAGTAAACCCGATACGTACATTTACATATTATCTGGTCGTGGGCGGATGCATCTCGATCAATGGTTCGAAGGGATCGGAGTTGGACTTTCCGCGGAACACGGATGCTTCTACAAGCATCCACAATGTTTACAAGGAAAAATCGATCCTATCACAAATCGTATTTCCGAGGGGAGGGTGATTGAAGATGAAACCAACGGCTGGTACAGACTTGTCGAAAAGGTGGATCCTGTATGGAAGGAGAAGATGTTGCCTTTGTTCACACATTTTACCGAGCGAACACCAGGCTCTTTCATCGAAGAAAAAGAGATCAATATAACATGGGACTATCAAGACGCGGACCTCGAATTTGGAAATTGGCAGGCGAGCGAACTTCAAATCAATCTCGAGAAATTTTTATGCAATACGTCATTATCGGTAAATTGGCTTTAACATTATCCATCTGATCGTGTAATTTGTTGACTCATCATCACATTGATTCTCCTAAAACTAGATTGTTTTGGCTAACAAATCTTTGGAAATTCGACCACTAACGGTCGATAAATCGACTGCGGTTCGAGCCATCATTAAGGATCTAAATCAATCAGGGGAAGATGTCGATTTTGTTTTATGTGTTGGGGATAGTAAAACCGATGAACCAGTGTTCGCTTTATTAAAAGAGTTAAAGCCCGATTGTTATACGAGCACTGTCGGCAAGAAGCAAACTGAAGCAAACTATTATCTTGAAGACGTGGAGGGTGTACAAAGATTTCTGGAAATATTGGCGCGGGAGTTGTAGACAATTTATAACTTTAGAATGCTTTAATAATATAATGACGGATATGAAGATTTTTTAATTAGTACGGTAGCGAACTTTCATAGGAACCTTTATAAAAATTCTGGTCTCTAATGATTTGCGCATTTGTGATACGTATATTTTTGGTGTGTTAAACGTGCTAACTATAGAAGTGTGTGTGCGAAAGAAATGGACAAAGAAACCCAGGCATACAGATATCTACATGCATAAGTACGTACCACTGCCTTCTTTGGGACATACGTAAGCATGTTCTCTGATTCCGGAACATAACAAGATTATATATACTGTACGCATACATACATAAAATACCTTTCTTCACCTAAAATTTTGTGTCTCCACATTAAAAGTATAAAGTGACCCTCCGAGAGAAATGGTTAGAAAAAAATTTTGTCGACAGAAAGCGCTCGTAAAGTTGATGGGCGGTGGTCACGAAGAAGAATTTATATTCATTTGGTGCCCGAATGATCCGATTGCAATTTTTATTCATGGGGACATGAAATTAACAGTAAAAGAGAAATTCGTGAAGCAACTTGTGAAGAGGAAGAAGACTTTTGTTAAAGTGAATATTCGGCATCGTGTGAGGACGATTTCATCAGAACCCACTAATCAATCCTTTTCCATTACAGAAACTTCGAATACTTTTTAATAAATCGAAACCTGAAGATAGCATGGATTTCTGGTGCCGTGGAACTTCGGATCTATTTTATAAACACGTTTAGTTCCATCTTCGATGGGCATATTCAAAATTCCTCCTGGTTTATATGTAAATATTACTCAAAATGCTAAATAGAATTTAATTTATGATGTAGACCTTTTATTCACACGGTTTATTTACGCGTGTCGAGAATCATGGTGGCACCTTTCAAAATTAATATTTTAGAGATAAAAAAAAATTTATTTAAAAGAATCCTTAACACAAATCAATAAAAAAATTTAATGTTACAGTACAATGAAAAAAAAAACGGTTTAATGCATTGTTGCTATGACCATATTTAGTGATTCAAAAAAGGAAAGATCGGCATGACCTCAGGTGATATACAACCCGTTAACTAACAAATGGAAATCGCCTCACAATTTTTCTCTCTCCTCTAGCTTGCTATCAAAGATGGCTTCGATCGATTTTCTTGTCGAAGAATGGCTTCGTTTGGATAGGGTATGTTGTTTCTGTGATTTTATTATAAGAATCCGATTTTATTTGGAGTTTTTCGTTTCCGCGAGTGTTCACAAGTATCTTATTTTAACAAGAATCCGAAAACACGAAGCGAGATTGAAAGTTTAAGGGGTAATGTTGAAGAATTGGAAAAACGCCTTCGTAATCGAATTTCGTTTGGCACCGCTGGTATCTATTTTATCGATACTTTTCTTCAACATCTTTCTTTTGTCTTAACATTAATCGATATTGGTTGCCTTTAGGCTTGAGATCAAGTATGCAAGCTGGATTTTCAAGGATGAACGATCTTACGGTGATTCAGGCCACACAGGTATCCTCAGTTTAATTTTTAAAATCGTCTAGTCAAAAAAGATTTTTTCGGTTGTCTTAAATAGTAATATTTCGACTTAGGGTCTCTGTATGTATCTTCTGGAAACAATACCAAAATCAAGAGATCGGGGTATCGTAATAGGCTATGACCATAGGCATAATTCAGAGAATTTTGCAAAATTAAGCGCAGCAGTGTTCTTGTCGAAAGATTTCAAAGTTTATTTTTACCGTGGCGTGGTGCATACACCTTTAGTGGTAATATATATATATATTTCTTTTTTTATGGCTTAAAAATAATAGTCTGATTATACACTCTGAAATTTCTTATACATCTCTTTTAGCCGTACGGAGTTAAGAAATTAAAGGCTGCCTGTGGCATCATGATTACCGCCTCACATGTAACTTTTTACATACACGCTGATGAGTGATTGTTTTTTCGATGGTCATCATTAATTTCATTCATCAATATCTCTTTAGAATCCTAAAGATGATAATGGATATAAAGTGTTAGTTATGTGATTTATCTCGGTTATAATACCCGCTCAGAGTCTAACAATGTTTATTTGTCTCATTTTTTTAAAAAAAAAAAGATACTGGGAAAATGCATGTCAGGTATAAAAAATTTCCTAATTATTTGATTAATCCTACTTTATTTCAAAATCTAAGCTATGCTAACCCTTCTAAAAGATCATCCCACCGCATGATAAAGGGATATCCGAAGAAATCAACAAAAATCTTGAACCTTGGATATGGGATCCTGAACTAGTAGACAATAGTGAATTATGTGTTGATAAAACAAAAGAGGTTTCCGATGCTTATTTGGAAGAGATCGGAGCATTGGCGCGTCACAGGTAGAAAAGTGCGATAGGAATAAAGCAATGGTATTATTGAAAATGTTATGACCATTAATCCTTTTGGTTTAGACAAGACAATGCCGCGTCGAATATCAAAATCGTATACACACCAATGCACGGAGTTGGATATCCTGTAGCAAAAAAAGCATTTGAGGTGTTTTCCTTAAATCCGTTTATACTTACTAGTCAGCAGATTCAGGATCCAGATTTCCCAACCGTGAAATTTCCCAATCCTGAAGAAGGAGAAAGTAAGTTAGAATGGATTTGCAAGTTATCAATCAGTTTTCTTTGAATTGAGGCGTGTTTTATTTTCCTCAAAAAAAAAAAACTAGGTGCTTTGGTACGTCCTTGACCTAAACAATATCGTAAATACACGGTTGAATTCATGCATTAGAATTGTTTTAACAGGCGTTGGCCATGCAAACAGCGGATGAATTTGAGGCTCGTACCATATTTGCAAATGACCCAGACGCCGACAGATTTAGTGTTGCAGAAAAGCAAAAAGAGTAAGAAGTTTGTTTGTTTATCTTGTAAAATATCTCGATTATTCTCCAATGAGTGCGTTTAATCATTCTTATTTTATGGATAATAGCGGACAGTGGATCATATTCTCGGGAAACCAAATTGGAGTCATGCTTGCGTCAACGGTACTAGATAATTATAAAACTTCTGGCAAATCAGTAGGTAGGTTTTGACTGGTATTCCTAATTTACATTGAATGCTGTCGATTCGCTTTCAGCCAACGTCTATCTTAAACAGAAAATCTAGCCATGCTTTCTACTGCCGTCTCTTCAAAGATGCTATCATGCATGGCAAAGTCCGAAGGTTTCTATTTCGAAGAAACTCTGACCGGTTTCAAATGGTTGGGAAATGCCGCGATGGAATTAAAAAAAAAAGGATACGACGCGTTATTTGCTTATGAAGAAGCGATCGGATTTATGATCGGTGATGTGGTTACCGACAAAGATGGAATAGGTGCCCTTGCAGCATTTGGAGAATTGTTAGTACAATTGGAGAAAAGAAATATGAGGATCAATGACTATTTGGAGGAGTTATATCGAAAGTAGGGGTTAATATTTTTTGAGAGTCCACCGATGACTTGGAGCTTCTCTATTTGGATGATCAATTTTTTCCTTTTACATTCAAAATTCAGGTACGGATATTTTGTGACAGAGAACTCATATTTTATTTGTCATTCTCAACCTACAATCAACAAGATTTTTAATAAAATAAGGTATGGTGAGAATCCGGTACGTATTAAGTTCAATCGATGACCCTATTCTGATTTAAAGTTACCGGACACTTTAAAACTCATTGGATCTCCTTATTATTTTAGGAAAAACCATCTGATCCAGATGTAGGTGTTAGTCAAAATTCTCGTCGTTGAATCTTCAATACCATTTTCAACTAATCACCTAGAATTATTTTTAGTATCCTTATGAATATCGACTTTCGTATCCCACGTCGCTAGCTGGCCACAAAATCACTTACATTCGAGACTTAACAATTGGTTATGATACCAGTAAACCGGATAAAAAACCAATATTGCCGGTATCCAAGAGTTCTCACATGATCACTTTTGGATTGGAGAATGGATGCATTGGAACGTTAAGAACAAGGTTCGTCTTTTTTTTTGACTATTTGTTCGACCCAAATATTATACTTAAGATTTAATAATTGCAATAGTGGAACGGAACCAAAGATCAAATATTATTTTGAATTATCAGGAACACAATATGAGGATGTTAATAAAGAGCTGAAAAGAATAGTTAAAGGAGCGGCAGATGAATTATTAGAACCTGAGAAACATGGGTTAATATATAGAGAATGAAATGTCGAGAAAGGAGAGGAATTATTTAACTTTGGTTTTACTCTTCTTTTTATCTGCTAATTAAGGTTAAATTTAGAATCAAGAGTACATTTCCCGAGTGATAGGTCTTTATAATTATTCTTATATAGAAACATTTTTTGCAGGGAAGCTAGATCCACACTATTTATTTTAATAAACCAAGTAAAAAAAAAATTTTCTAAAACAACCATATTAAATTTATTGTTTTAAGTTAATTAAATTATGTTTAAATATTTAAAATTTCAATTATTATTAGCATTATATTGTTTTTTAAAAGAAATAATTTATTATTATATAATATTGATTTATCAAACTTGATTATATATTGTCAATTACAATATATTGGATAAAATTATTATTTTTTATATTTTACTAAATATAAAACACATTAATCATATTTAATAAAATTTTTCTAGTTTTTTTTATTAAGGATTTCTTCTTGCATATATAATATTTATATTTTTTTAATCATTGAAAAAACTTGATAATCTATAGTGTTATCATGTTAGTTTAATGGCAACTAAAAATATATGTTAATAAGTTTTAAAATAACAGAAATTCTCAATATTATTTTATATCTTTTAGACTATTCTTTTTTCATAAAAAAAAATGTAAAGCAAAAAGTATTATAAGCATAAATTTGTCTTGATAAATAATAATAAAACATGATTTTTTAAATAATCAAATCTTTTAAATCTTTTAAAATATAATACAGATGTATTATGTATTAATAGTTAGTATTCATTTATGCAATTATAAAAGATTTTTATAAAATTCAATATAAGAATTTTTGTTTAAAATATTGATATTGGTATTTTTATATATGCAATAAATAACAAATACATTATATTATGATATATTAAAACAAAATTTATTAAAGCAAACATATCAGGTTATTATAATAGAAATAAGTAAATGTCCTAACAAGATAATAATTTTAAATATAAATTTAAAAATATTATAAGAACATTATTTGTGAATTCTTGATTGATTATCATCCTTTTTTCTGAATATAAACCAATTGAACCAGAGAATAGAAAAAAGTATGAACTAGTGTCAACTTGATAGTTCTGAAAAAAAATTATCATGTAAATATAAAACGTTGTGACAAAAAATAGAATATTAAAAAATTTTTTTAAAAAAAAGACTTACCTCGTGACACATTAAAATTTAGTGGTTGTTTTTCCGTCGGCACTGAATATACAAGAAAAAATAATTTATATAATCGTTACGTTATTAAATTTATTATAGTTCGGGTTTGACATTAGCCCTGTAGTTATGTAATCATGCATGCAAAAAAAAGAAATTCATTCTATTTTTAAGGGAAATCTATATTTGTTGACTTATATACCTAATTCTATACTATCCGAATATGGTGCATATTTTTTTAAAACCACGAAGACTCTTATATTACTTTTTGTCCAAGGCGAATACATCCATGGCTTGTACATAAATAGTAATGATAATTTGCGTGGTGTTTCGAATGGCAAATTGTTTTAAAACTACTATAAATAGTTCATTTTTAACTTTTACCCAAGAATTTCGGAAAATTTCAATTTTTCCTGTTTACAATAACGTTTCTTCTTCAAGGACATTATATATGTCGAAGAAATATTTTAGATAATTTTTTTAAGATTGATTATCTAATAAGCAAAATGATGTCCACCTCAATTAAAAAAACAGTTTGGCGTATTGTAATCTTCTTGTTTTTGTTTCAAGGTAAGGCCTGGAATTCACTCATGAATTTATTAATATGGAAAAATCACGAAAATCCAACCGGTTCTCTCAACAGTCGTATACAGCGATAACAAATACTGTGATAAGAGCACGAAATATTGTTTTGCTATTTCACTCCCCAATACAACTTTGCCTGCTAGTCAGCAGTTTGCAGAATTTACACTAGTGGCACCAAATAATGTTGGGTAAGTTATAAAAACACAGTTGTCAAAATCCTATCCAGATGAATTTTAATCAAAGTTTTTGTTTTTTAAAAAAATCAATAGCTGGTTAGGAGTTGGAGTCGGTGATAGTATGTTGACGGGCTATCTAATAGTGAGTGTTATAGTTTTATCTCATAATTCATTCATTCATTCAATCGACCTTTGATATATCAAGTTCTCCGCGTTTTAATAGGTTGCTTGGCCAAATCCAGATGGTTCGGTAACACTTTCTCAACGCAATTCACTAAATGGATATCATGAACCTACTGCATCATCAAATCAACAAGATCTGATCCTTGACAATGCGACTGTGTCTAATTCCGATGGAAATTTGGAAATACACTTTAGACGTCTTGTATCATTAAAAGCTAATACTATTCCCAGTAAAGGAAAGTTTTTGTGGGCTCTCGGTCATCATAAAGTTGATGGCAATAATTACGATGCGAGCATTTCGTATCATGATGGGGGTATGGGCGTTGTTAAGATGCAATTGACATCTGATGACAAGTCTACGAATTACTGGACTCGTTATGACAAATTGATTATTGCTCACGGTAAATTTGTTTGCGGCCGACAGATTTCTACTTCATCTAGTTTTCACATGACTTATCATGATTTCTTTAATACATCTATTTAGCTACCATAATGTTTATCGCTTGGCTTGTTTGTGTGCCCGCTGCAATTTACATTGCACGATTCGCAAGAAACCTGTTACCTAGATCTTGGTTTCATATACATTGGGGAATTCAAGTTTTTCTTGTAGTCCCTCTTGCAATCGCTGGTGGCTCGTTATCGTACGTCGCTGTAAACGGATTTTTCTTTGATGATCCTCACAAGGTATAAAATCATTCGCATCATCCCCTTTGTAAGTTTAATTACTAACACCTTTGGCAATAAATTAGATCATCGGATTAATCCTTTTTATTGGATTATTTGTTCAATTGGCCATTGGTGGAATTCATCATAAATTATTTGATCCTCATAGGAATTTCGTCCCTTGGTGGACTCAACTTCATTGGTATAGTTGACGATTCCCTTTCTATGATTATCAATTTCTCCTTCAATATTAATTAATTAATCTTTCAATAAATACATTCTCATAAATCGTCATAGGTGGTTCGGTCGTGCACTTGTTGTTTTGGCGGTGTTCCAAGTTCCACTAGGACTTTCTCTTTACCAAGCGGACATTGAACTATTCTACTTTTATTACATTTACATCTTTATCTTGTTGATTTCATTTTCATTCCTATCAATTCGAAAGTGGAACATAAGTAATGGAGTGAAAAATGGTTTTAGAAAAATGGACGACGAATAACAATTAATATCTACTTGATGGATGGAATGTTTAAAAAAATAAAACAAGTTTAATTAAATGATGGCAAATGATCGATTCCTTTTCTTTATAAAAGCTGATTTATATGAAATTTATGCATTGGTCTAGCAATGCTTCATGATCTTCATAAGACTAGACTTATAAACCTTTCCTTATCTGATAAGACTAATTAAACTCATTGAATACTAGTAATAATTTAAATTCGTGTGAATCGAATAAAAGAATCTATCAAGATAGTTACGAATAATAGAAAATAACAGAAAGAGTCCAATCCTTTCTATACCATTACAGTTTTGCAGGGACATGACCTTCTTTCGCTTGAGCATATTCGAATACTTGTTTCATTTCGTCCGCTGCCTCCTTGAGATAGTGGCACATGTGTTCATTATTCAAGTGCATCGACACGACGTTGAAATGTAAGACATTTGCATTAATTTGATACGCAATACCATAACCATCTGGCACCACTTCTCCCCATCCATATCCATCAAAATATTCTGATGAAAGTTGGGAAGTTGATAGATTCCAGTGTGTGGATTTTGCATAAGTCGTATCAGTAAATATCAATGGTGGTTCTTCGTTTGGCTTCAGTGACATACGGAGACCTTGTTTTAACATATTAAGGTTAACAAAAAATTACATGAGATGCAAAAGCCGGATATGATTAAGAAATCTCACCGAGCAAATGACGATCACATCCGCGCCCTTCGACGGCTTCGGCCATATATTTTACATGAGACGTAATCGCCTTATGACCAAGCTTAGCCTTGGTCTCGATCTTTACAAGAAGATGTGCGTTCATATGAATTCAAAAATAGTCTTGATGAGAATATTAATCATCACTGCTCAGTAAACTAGCTTACTGGAACATGCGGATCTTCCATGGCTTTAACCCACGCCGCCGAATCCGCAGAACAACTTCGGCACACTTCGGTTCTACCATGAGCAAATTTTCTTGTTTGTGCACTCTCGTACGTTGCCTTGGAAACTCCGTGCATTTTATAATATGCCAATTGAATTATCATTTGAACATATGCATCCGGTGAGAATCTCAACTTTTTAATGCCATTTTTACCATACCCCTGATATGACAATACGCGGAGATCATGTTTTGCAACAAGGGCGTCAAAATTGTTTTCGGCTTTTGCAATTGCGTCAAGGATATCCTTGTTTAATGTAAAACGAAGTTGTTCCGGTACTGGAAGTCCCGAACGGACATTAGGAGAACCATGATTAACTTTGTTATTGGCGATCGAGGTGCAAATAAAATCATTTAATCGACATGTCGGAGTTCCATCCATAGATGAATGCTAGTATAAAATTAGGTGAGTAGTGTTTACAAAAATTACATCGAACGTTAAACGAATTCGGTTCAATCCTAACCTCTCCACAAAATCCGGCCTTTCCGTTTTCAAAAATTATGAATTGCAAAGATTTATCAAAGAAGCGATTACGCCCATCACCAACCCAACACGCGTGACTCAACTCATCACGTGTAACCGGTGTGGTGTCATCAAGACAAACGGCAAAGACTGAACTTTCTATCTTCTTAAGCAATTTCTCGTTTTCGGGACTAGCAGACAACAGCAAGTTACGGTACTAGCATACAAATCAGGAAGATATCGTGAAGGTTTTCTATAATCGATCAGATGCGTGAATATTTAAGAATACCAACATTTGTCCAGTTGTCTCGATTTTCGGTGGTAAAAGCTCCAATTGGAGGATCTTTGGCATTACCAGCTAACTCATATACCTTTTTGATTTGGCTAAGGGAATTAAATAAGGTTTTAGCAAGATAAATTCACCGATTTGAAAATATCCATAAAGCAGTTACCTTTCGATCTCAGAAGTCGACAATTGCGTCCCATCCTTTACCAGATCCACAATGAAAAACTTGTTTTTTCGAATAACGGTCATATGATTGTTTGTCGCGGGATCAAAAGTTAGCTCAAAATCGGTTGGTTTTTTGGGGTACCGACAAGCGTTAAACATCATTTTGTACGAATCCATACAAAGAGGAAGATTTCTCGCGTATTCCGGCTCTAACTGTTCTCTTTTTAAACATTACGGTTGTTCAAGGTATCAGAGATATACGAACCAGGATTAAAGCTGAGTGTTATAGTGACACGTACTTACTCCACGACTAATTTGCGAAATTCCAAAGCAGCCGTGATGACTGAAGCGGCTCGAGCAGCTGGATCTTTGCGGATTTTGTCATCTTTGTAGGCGAAAAAATAGCTCACGTAAACACAAACTGGATCCCTGTAGCCGAAATATGCTAATTCATTCCACCATTCCTCCAACCAATTAATAACATTCGGGTTGTTGGCCTTCTCTAAAAGTCGCCTTTGTAATTCTTCACCAATCCCTCCGGGCTTTTGGAATTCAGTCACGGCAGCGACGGTTTTAGCGAATTCTTCTTCATTTACAAGAGGTTTAACCGATTTGAGATACTTCTCGAGAGTCTCAGAAAGTGCAGGCACAGGAAGCCTGGGAAGAGACTTTTGGTAACGAAGCATGGGACCAACAGAAGTATCAACAGGATATGGATTCGTTGCTTTCGAGATCGGAGCGGCCGCGGCCAGACTATAATTTTTCTGTGACATATTACTCAGGATCTAATGTGAATTCATGCATAAGGACTTTAGTACATATCTTGATGTTGAATTCAGCAAATATATTAATTAGATACCTGATTTTTTGGTCGATAAAAATTCCTGGTAATTGAACGCGCTAAAGAGAGTTTATATGACATTAAATTGTTTCTTAGGAGATCGATTTTTAATCAGTTTACAAATTTATTTAAAGAAGATTTTTTAGATTTTTTAAGGAGTACAACTGTCATTCCAAATACAGTACATTGATAATCTAAAAGAATTATCTTGTTTGCACACGTTCTAAATATTATATATTATTATAACCGTAGTTTTGAACCTTTTTATCCCTTTTTGAATGCATATACAGTTATCTAGAAATCATTATATAAGGTAAAGACAGGTATTATGACATGCTTTTCTAATCAGAAACTATAACATATTTGGTCAAGAATTATAAATTTTGGTTATAATTTCTAATAATATGAATTTTTTGATACTATTGATATATGCAATTAATTAGTCATGAAAAATTTTGAAATTAAAATAATTTATATAACATGTATAATATATAATACATACTGTATATAGTTGATATCAAAAATAATATTTATTTTTATCTAATATTTTTTTTTTTTTTTTTCGGGTGAAAGATACTTTGTGCATATACATTTTATTGAGTAGTTTATATTCAATTACAGATACATTAAGGTCCATTTAAGTTAACCTTGCTTCTATACCTATAGACTTATCCAGTTATACCAATTGAACATCTTGAAAGTGGATCCGTACCCTAGGTGGGATCTTTAGGGGATAGAAAATCCTACCACTAGTTTATAAACTATCTAACCTAATCTAGATCCTGTCTCGACTGCATCCGTCATGGGAGAGGCACAGTTATTACCTTTCAGGGGTATGGTTGTAGAACACCCAGATATCCCGTATATATTTTTTATCCAGAATCTCGGAGAAGGTAAATCACTCTTTGTCACCACCTGCGGCTTCTGATTATACCAAGTACTTTTTTTTGAGATATAACCTTCTTTTAAGCAAGCGCCAGATTAGGATAGCCCCAGGTTAGGATGTTCTTTATGTGATAGGATCTGCCATCGCCAGTTTTGATTAGAGTTGTAGGCTTATACTGGAATTAGACCAGAAGCCTTTCCTCGTGCAACCTTCCTTGCTTCAACCTGTTTTCAGCCCGTGATTGTCGGGAAAACCAGAGATCCCATCTTCATGCAGCCTAACTAATTTTTGGAAGATGATTTGCGGCTGATTGGGTATAACATGAATTGGAAGCCGGTCAATCAATCATAAAGGTAATAAATTTTTGTAACCAGGTGGGTTTGAATCCTAAACCTTCACCTGGTGACCTATGGAGTTTTACCACTGAGCTATAGATCCATAGATCTTTTTTATCTAATATTTTTTCTTTTATTATTATTATTATTTTTTTTTTAAAGTGCACCAGTGATAATTGTCTGGCTAAATGTTTATTTCTCATAACAATATTTACATATACAGTATCTTTAGATATTACTATCTAGGACTATGCTATAACATATCAGTTATCAATTATATCCAATACTTATTGGAATTGTTTCAAATAATAATATTTGCTATAGTTTGTTCCTAATTATATTAGATATAGAGACTAATCTACTAAACAAAAGAATTTATTTGTTTAACCAATAGTATGCATTTTCATTAATAATCATACAGCTTTATTTCTAATTAGAAAAGAATTAAAGAAAAGTTGAAAAAGGCACTAGAAATAATACCTATGGCAAATAAAGCTATATAATCACTACCTGCTCCATTAGAGATAAATCCCTTTATTACCACCTGCAACTAGATTAATTATTTAATTTCTTATCTATTCAATGATACCCATAAACATTTAAAGTACTTATAACTGATGTTTACCATCTGAATACCAACTTACATATTGCAGGGAACAGGACTTATAGCCAAATGTCTTTTCAGAATAAGTACTGCCAGATCAGTTTATTACTGGATTGAAATAAGACTAGAGCAAGGATTTACATAAAAGATACTGGATATTAGAAAAGTAATCACCAAATATACTTGTTAAAAGTGGATACCATATATATCTTGCAACTTTTGACAATCATTGTAACACCAACCAGACAATTGTCACACTATAACATCTTTTCTGAAAATTACAATCTTAATGTTTATTGGATTAATATATGAAACAGCTTCTTATGAAAAATAGCGCTTTTACAAATTATGATGCCAGATAATATATTAATTCTATTCAACCACTCTTATATAGGATTAAACTGATATCTTGTAATTTGACCTGTAGAGTATTAATCATTATACTATGGACCTATAGATCTTTATTTTTTCTTTTATTTATTTTTAAAATTTAAAATTTATAATAAATTTAAAATTACAAAATACTAATCTAAAATTAAGTCTTAATAAATTTTATAAACTTTATTTTAAAAATTTCAAAAAAGTATTAAAAAACCAATATATTTAGTTTATATTAAAAAAAAAATTAAAAAAAATTTATAATAAATTAATTCAAATAATAATTTTCTTATTATTTATATACAAAAAAAAATTAAGTTTTATAATAAACATTTATATTTTAAATATTAATAACAAAAACTTTATATAAAAACTTTTTTGAATTAAAAAAAAAAAACTCTTTCTGACAATCAATTTTTTACTTAAAAATTTCCTTATTTGGTAACAAACTTTCTCAAGAAACTTTTTACTCCTAAGTACTTCCAAGTGCTCCCAACTAATAACTAACTTCTAATCATGAAGCATTTATCAACAAACAGCAACAAAGGGCAATTCCTATATGCTATTATTCATTAGGACTGAAACCAGCTCTTCCAAATTTACTACCTTGACCTTAACAACAATACAATCATCTGAACAAAATTTGCATGAACCCTTTTTATTACTAATCTCTTAAATTTCCCTAATCAATTTCTTATTATTAAAGAAGAAAAAAATATTAAAGAAATAGTCAAAATAAACTCTACTAATGATATTCACATTATTAATTTCATAATGGAAATAACAAAAAAAAAAGACCAAAAGAAACTCCCATAAACCCATATTCAACTCTAACTAAAAGAACATCTCCTTTAACTTTCAATATATCAGTAACATAGTAGAAAAAAGGAAAAAAACCCAATGCAATACAAAACTTTATAATCATCTACAAGAATTTCTCTTCCTCTCTCAAGAAATAATAAAAAACCCCAACCAGCTTACCCCTGAAAATAATTGTTTGCCTATCACTTCTCTTGTTTTTCAAAAAAGAAACATTGATCAAACAGTCACAACATATATACAAACAAACCCTCTGTCTATCACTTCAATTCCTGCTCAATCCAGTAATCTCACAGAAATTAGTGAAACAGTTGATAAATCAATGAAACTCTCTGATTTGAATCCTTCTCCTATCAACTCTACACAATTAAACATATCTCGCACTTAACAAATAATCAATTTTTCTAACAACTCTCACTAGTCGAAATGAATTTATTTGGCATAATGCCACTTGTCAATCATTCGTCAAAAAAGTATATAATTCGGCTAATCAAAATTATATAACTTTTATCTTC